TATAGTGTTAATATTTTTAAAAATTAAAATTGTTACATTAAAAACTTTTATTGTTACATAAAGTAAATGTTAACATCATAATTTTGGTAGTGCAATGAAAGAAAATGAGTGACATACGGGAAATATAAAATAATGTTTCATTTCGTCTGGAACATAAATGCTCTATATATGAGAATAACAGAACTTACACAGAATTACTTTTGAACCGGAAGATATATTACATTTAAATTACTTTTTTTATTTGAAGAAATTCGTAGATTCATTTTATCTTAGGGAACCATAAAAACTATGATTCTAGATTCTTCTATCTCTTTGAAGATTATTTTTATTTTATTTTCCGCACTGCGGTTAGCTAGAGGGACTGCTAATATTCACAGCGGCTTTCATATCGTGATAAAACACGTTTCTGGATAAACTATTCATTCTGTTATATTTTTATAACAGAATCTCATTACTCTATAAAAGAAATATGGACTAAATTATAGTGGATATAGTTTTTAAATTCAAAAAAATATCAATAAATCACAAAATAATTAAAGTATCATATGCATATACATATGCTGCTATAGTTCGTACCGCCAAAACTGCTCTTACGATTTCAACGAAACTTGCTTAAAGTATTTTCCTTGAGGCCCTATGAATGTATGTATTAATCCCTTAAAAAAGCTAGAAAAATGTTAACATTTATGAAAACTTGTATTGGAAATTTTTTCAAAAAGTAAATAATTGTTAGCAGGTTATATGCGTGTTTACTTAATAGTTTAAGAAATATCAAAAAAAAATCATCGAAATCAGATGATTAATGCAAAAAATATAGCGTTCTAAACTTTTAGCACAAAGTCTACTGCAAAATCTCATCACAATACATCTTTTTTTTTTTTTTTTTTTTTGATTATTGGAAAACTATACATCAGCTGATGCAATCGAATTTATTGGCTATATATCATGACAAGAAATGACAAGAAAATATTACAAACTATAATGTAGGCTAATATCGATGATAAGAAAAGTATAGTGACGCGGCATTTATATTTGACTTACAAATATTTGGAAATAAACAATTGTGGAATATTATAACACTAAAATGTAAAGTAATGTTGTTTAAAGTTAAAGACATGTAAATTTATGCACATGATTTATGTGTGTGTGTGTGTGTGTGTGTGTTTTATATAAAAACATGAAAAAAATCAAGTGGGTCGATTTTTTTGCCTGTCAGTGCACAATTATATATTTACAGGCTGATTGAAAATGAAATAAAGGTACATATAATGAAAAGATATAAAAACGTACATAAATATAAAATAGACAGAAAAAAAATATCGATAAATCACAAAATAATTAAAGTATCATATGCATATACATATGCTGCTATAGTTCGTACCGCCAAAGCTGCTATTACGATTTCAACGAAACTTTAAGCAAGTATTTTCCCTGAGGACCTATGAATGTATGCATTAACCCCTAAAAAAAGCTAGAAAAATGTTAACATTTATGAAAACTTGTATTGGAAATTTTTTCAAAAAGTAAATAATTGTTAGCAGGTTATATGCGTGTTTACTTAATAGTTTAAGAAATATAAAAAAAAAAATCATCGAAATCAGATGATTAATGCAAAAAATATAGCGTTCTAAACTTTTAGCACAAAGTCTACTGCAAAATCTCATCACAATCCATCTTTTTTTTTGTTTTGTTTTTATTATTGGAAAACTATACATCAGCTGATGCAATCGAATTTATTGGCTATATATCATGACAAGAAATGACAAGAAAATATTATAAACTATAATGTAGGCTAATATCGATGATAAGGAAAGTATAGTGACGCGTCATTTGTATTTGACTTACAAATATTTGGAAATAAACAATTGTGGACGCGTGTGTGTGTGCGTGTGCGTTTGTGTGTGTGTGATTGTTTAATGTTGTCCTTAATGATGGAGATGTATGCTATTTAATTTTAAATATTTTTAGATAGGCTAAATAACCTTTTGTTCGAGAAATAACTTTCAATTATTGTTCATATTGATTTAACAACATATTTTACGTCAAATTGTATAAAGAAATATATATTCTGAGGAGGTACCATAGAAGGAATAAAGATAATAAAATACATAAACAATTTTGTTATAAACATTATTTATGATATTTACAACTGTATTACAAACAAAAATGCATTCAGTAAATGTGAACACAAGAATACAATAACATTAAATCACTTGAGAAACAACTCACTGGTAGCACTCTAAAAATGTATTTGCAAAAGGAGATCTCGAAGCATCTTCTTTTCAGGCGCCTCGTAGGGTTATCGGGGATCGAAGAGGAAGCAAGGTTAGAAACAAGAGAGTTTGGATGGTTCTGAAGTTTGTTATGGATGAATAGGTATCTGGATTGGGCCTGGTCAGAAACATAAGGAACATTGAGGTTATGGATGATTTTATTTGTGACAACGTAAGCAGCAGTGAGGATTTCACGAAGGATTTCGGTTTGTAAGGATTGAAGACGAGAGGAATTTTATGGCTTAGTGGAGCACCCGAGATTAACTAAAGCTTGAAACTTTTGAATCTTTATTAAACGATAGTAGTTCCCAAGTGTATCCTTCGGAACACTCTTGCTGAATTCCTTAGTCGATTAAATGATTTCATTTAGGATGAAACAGGAATGTCCTCTTTAACTCTAGTATAAAATGTGACAAAGTCAATTAGAACCAGACAATTGTCAGTTTAACTTTAGTCCCAGATGCCTGTGGTTAAGGTTCCAGCGCTCAACTTAGTTTAATACCAGTAATGTGACAAAGATGGGAAACTATATCTACTGGAGCCCCAACCTTTTACTAAATGAGTAGTAACACTTCCTTGTAATATTAACAGAATGCCTGTTAATAAAGTGAACTAGGCCAGTTTTTCAAAATTATAGTGATCATATATAAATATATAAGGTGTTAAATTAAAACTACTCTAAACCTTTAAAAAGTTATATCTACTCTAAATCATAACTATTAAAAGAAAAAAGAAAAAACCTGTTGCCGATTTCCATTCACGGATAAACTAGTTCCTATTATTTATTTTATAACCTTAACATTTACCCTAGCGGATCATTAGTGGCTTAAAGCGATTTCTGGATTCATTCATGGATTACTCAGTTATTGTAGTTGAGGTTATATTGATAGTGTTCCTTTGTAGAAACATTGAAAATGCTTTTACAGGTCGTTATTTATTAAAAATTATAATTCTGTCTCAGAAAACATAGAAAGGAACCTAATTGAAAATTTTAGTTTTAACACTTAGTTCACCTCTTCAAAATCTTTAATCCACATCCTGACAACCTTAATCCAAATCCATTTGAATGTATTGATGCAGAACTGAATATTCCAATCCAAATGATCCCTCCACCTAAAGCATTTCATCCTTCAGAAGCTTCCATTTAATTACAAAAGACTCATATATATGATTATAATAAGACCTATTTGGACTTACGGAGTTGAGCTCTGGGGCTCCTCTAAGTCATCAAATTCCTCTCCTATCCAATCCCTACAATCCAAAATCCTTCGTAAAATCCTCAATGCTTCTTACTTGGTCACAAATAAAATAATTCATAAAGACCTTAATGTTCCATAAGTTTCCTATTTGGCTCGATCCAAATACCTGTTCTTCCATAATAAACTTCATAACCATCCGAATCCTCTGGTTTCTAACCTTGCTTCCTCGTCGATCCTGATAATCCTATGAGGAGTCTTAAAAGAAGATGGTCACGTGATTTCCTTTTGTAGAAATATTATTAGAGTGCTACCAGCCGGTAGTTATTCAACAAGCGTTTTCATGTGATTATATTTATGTGTACATTTCCATGTACCATGAGTCTCAAACACACAGGCGAATAGTTATCTTGCCAACGTTTCACCAATTCATGCTTCAAAGACATCAGAGCAAAAAAACAAGATCACATATATGCAAAAAGGAAAAAAAAAAAATATTGCCGTTGTCATCTCACGAATCTATCCAAACACATACTGAAAGAAAGAGGTTCTATTAAGACAGTTAAGGAAGGTTATATTGAACAGCTGGTTTGTAGGGATAGAAGGGGAAAAATTACTTCTAACTAAAATAAAATAATAAAAAACGTGTTAAATAAATAAAATAAAAAATATTAAATTTTAAAGAAAAAGCTCGAAGATATATAACGTCCATTCCAAAACAACCGGACCAGTTTTAGCTGTTATAGTATATATTGTTTTAATACGTTGATTTTAATGGTGTTTCACTTGCCCGTTTACATTGCTTGTTTCATTCAAGGAATCTAACCCTAATGATTTCACTGATCGGTTTTTAGGAAAATGAATCTATTTCAATTGTTTTTTTTTCTAATATACACATTTAAAGATTAATTTTTTTTAAATATATAGGAAAGTCTTGTAAGTGGACACAATAGATTTTTAATGTAAAATCATTGGGAACAATATATACATTGTCTTTACAACTCTTTCATTCCATATAATATGAGGAATATTCCAAATAACCTCCTCAAGGGTTATAATTATCTTTTTTTTCTTAATTTTATTGATTTAGTTGTACTTTACAATGTTTATGTCAATAAAACATCTAAATGCACTTATTTTGAGGCGTTTTTCTGAGATTTAACGCAGGCTATTTAATAAATAGCAATAAACTGATAGTTAACTACAAGACTCTTGCGCAAGACCAAGACCAAGACTGCCTCCATCTCGTTTTGGTCTTGCATTTGGGCAACACTAGTGAATAGTATTAACCAAGTTGGATGATGGCTTCATGTGGATGTCAACTGCTATATTTTTTTTCTTTTAATCTTTCTGCATATATTTGATCTTGTTTTTTCCTGATGATGTCTGAATTGGTGAAATGTTGACAAATTACTTAGACTCATGACTCTGTAGTTTGGATTTTTCCATTTATAACGTAACTAAATTTCTATGTTTAAAATTTTAATTCTACCACAACCCATTTAAAGATTTAATATTTTATTATATTCAGAACAATGACAGGAGCTTTCGTCGGCAACGGAGAATACCAAGGTGTGCGAGGATACAAATACGAGGTGTCACTAGGCGACATGAAGAGGAACCCTGGGGAGATGTGCTTCTGCCCTTCGCCTGACAGGTGTCTGGGAAAAGGAACAACTGACCTCACCAAGTGCCAAGGTAGAATAATTACTATATACTTTTCGTTTGGTCTGCATGTTATAAATTCAACGATGTTTAGCTTAGTTTAGAGACGGATCCGACACCATCGTTGTGTTCACGAACTTGTCCAATATCACATATATCACATATTAGAAAAAAAAAGATGATAGAATAACAAGATAAGAAAATTAAGCTAGAGAAACAGATATCTAATTGGGATGTTATAAATCATGCTTTTCATTCATTAAATCAAAATATCAGATTCTCATACACAGGTTGAGTCAGCAGGAAGGGCCAAACTCCAAGAGTGGGTTTTAATTAATGCAGGGAACGATTTTGAAAATCTAGTGCGATGTGCGCATTACACAACTTTCACTTACCACACTCTTCTTAGCAGAAATAAGTATTTACAGACAAAGGGAAAGTGAAAATGAAAATTATAGACGGTATATGTATTTATATTTCATTGTGGGTATTTTTGTTTACTTGTTGTACTTTATTGTAGTTTATATGGGTACTTTTACTTTAAATACCCTTATATATAAATTTTAATATTTATTTCGCTGTAATCTAAACAAATAAATATTAAATAATACCAAACAATGGTGCTTATGAAAACCGCATATGTTTATGTACATAATATTGTCGTGGTCCGTATTACATTAAGATCATGTTACGTATATAAGCCTGTTATTAATCTTTCTGGCAATTATTAGGTATTACTTTGGTTCCTCTATTCTATGTTACGATCTTATATTTCTTCTTCAGTTAATTGTCGTATTCTTTCATTTTTTATATCAGAGATCAATATGAAATGGTAATTGTTAAAAAAAAAAAATTCAGATGTACTTTAGTTGAAGCTAATGTTGAAAATTAGCTTTTTGAACCCTGCTAGAGGACACCAATGAGAATAAAACGGCTTAGTTTTACACTGATATATGAATTTAATTAAAATCGTTAGAGCCGTTCTAGAAAAAATTGTAAAAATGTGTCAAAACGAAGATATAATGTGCCTTTTCCGGTTAGCCGACTTTGACGAAAAAGTTGATGTAACATCCCAGGCATATAAAAACCTTAAATACACAATTTCAGTTTCATACAACTTTATTTTTGAGCTAGGATGTTCACATACATACAACACACACACGCACACTCAAATGCGTACCATTTTGTAGTACTTGGCTATTGGGACTCAGGAACTCAAAACGGGCATTTCCGTTGAAAACCCAGATTCGAAAATTTTCACAAGCGCATTACTTGCCTTTACTATACATTACATATATAGGTGAGTAAATGTAAAAAAACTTATATGTTTTAATCCAATTATTATCAGTTTAAAATTAATCCGCTAATACAAAAGAATACAATTTTACAAATAAACAACATTTCTGGTATCACAGTATAAACTTTTGAAAATACCACCACTGCCTTGTAAACATTTTCTGCTTCTTCTTCGAAGAGCGACAGTTGCCCTTCTGATTGTTACAGAGTACAGATTTAGTAACTAATAAACAAATTTAATTAGCTCAAATTTATGGAAAAATTGCTCCCCTTAGCAAATACAAGAATGTGACATGGTATACTTTATCTCCGATGTACAGCTTTTAAGAACGAAAAAATGCTCTAGATGATTAATTGAAAACAGAAAATTTGGAAGTATTTAGGCAAAATAAGAAGATATTGTCAAATCATTTATTAAAGTGCATTATAAGATGATTTAATTGATAATTTATTTTCAACTTATTTAATGTTTACAATACATATTTTGTTTGTAATGAATTATTAATTAATTATGTACATAATTTTTAATATATAGATATGTTATGCATGCATTTGTTCTATTTTAGTCCTAAATTTCAATTATAGACAAACAAGACGAAAAAATAAACGGAAAAGTTAATTATATGTATAGTTAATTATAATTATCATCTATTAATTATTAATGTGAAATTGTATAGAATCTTCTCCACTAAAATTTTCTCCTACATAAATAGACCAAAGTTAAATTGGAGAAGGTTTGAGAGCAGTTTAAACGGAATAAAGCTCTTCTGATGTTTATTTTCATTTCATTCAGAGGAAGCGGTCGAGATAGAATCTATTTAAGCATTTCTTGGAATTCAAGTTATACGAAATCTGAATATGAGCCCTTGAAGGAGGTGCCAAAGAGAGAAAATTTAAGAAATTAGGGAAGGTTTTCATTGAATCAGTTAGAGATTAAGACTAGTTTAGTAAGTCTGACAAATGAAATATTTATCTCGAGCTAATTTGATATCCTTAGTGAATATAATTATTATATTTTTACTCTATATATCTACGATCTCATTAACTGTCCTTTCCTTATTGACTTCAAACTTCAAAGTTTAGCATACTAATTTGTTGATCCCTCTTGGCACACCCTGCAAGCGTTCCTCAAGGAAGTATCCTCGATCCCATCCTTTGCACATTTTATATACAATAGTTGAAAACCAAACCCATCCTGACACTCCCATCACCACGTACGCCGATAATTGCTATCCGTTAAAAATTACCCTAAAATTGCTTCCCAAACATTTCTAATCACATATCACAAACCTTGAAGAATTCTATCAAAACTGGAGAATAAAATAAATTCCATCAAATCACCATTATCCTCCGCCGTACCTACAATTTCTTGTCCCACAGCATCCATAATACTGTAGTTATTATTATTATATATGTTTAGCGAATCCGCTACCTAGGACCTAATTTACTCTGGAACTATTTCACGGATAAAATACAAAATAACTGGTGCCGGATGAAATTCTTGGCTAACACTAGTTATTATTATTTATTTTATGAAATATTAACATTTACGTCTAGTTGCAATCCTCATATAAGCCTAAAACTGCTCGATAAACCACCATTTAACAGGCAACGCTCTAAGCTTTCGCTAAATGATAAAAGGCTCATTTACATTATTATAATCAGAGGCTGCGAGATCAACATTTGTGAGAGAGACACATTTTTACTGGTATTTTGAAATTTTGAGAGGGCTCATTTCGACAGAAATATGTTTTTTGGGAATGAAAAAGTTTCAATCCAAGGAACAAGGGAAAAACATGGACCAGACCACTGCAAGTGTAATTGTATATGATCTACGATTTATCTAATTATACTTGTGCTGTTTTTAATAAGAGGGAGGCAAAAATATTTCTTAGGAAGGAGGTGGAATAGGCACCCCTGATTATAATAAAGAATATTCGGACATACGGAGTGGATTTTAAGCAATGCGAATAATTATAATAAAATAATAACATAAATTTGCAATAAGGTGCGATGTATAATATTGATTTTTAAAGGAATTAAAAATTTGTCCGAATTGTGGTTTCGTTCAGTTTATTATATATTGATAAAAAAATAATAATATCTACTACAAAATACACCTAAATACAGTTGTACAATTTGAGAAACGAGTAGTATAATTAAATGAACAATTGTATAATTTGTAAAATGGGAGTTGGTCCGCCGTAGAGCGGACAGGGGGAAGTACCCACTAGTTAAAGAGTAATATTATCGTTAATAAAATATATATTTTTTGAAATATTGATGGGAGCAGTATAATAAGATACTTAAAATACTGAAGATCTACGCCGAGGCTAAGAAACTTAATTAAACTTTATCCATCTTTGGTTGATAAAGTCTTAACTTCTTGGTCTTCCGGGAAGGTTCAACTTCTGCCCAATCGTTTCATTGTTGCTTCAGTTGGTTGAATAAGGTCTAGGGCTCTTTTATAACCATAACGTTTTTATCATTTATCTTCATCCATCACAAATCTTTTGGAAAAAACTTCCACTGGAACTAAATGAATGAATGATAGGCTCTAGTGTTCCTTACGTACTTTTCATTATACAGTATTCATGTATCTATCCTTGTAAGAAATCTATGTGATTTTAATTGATGTAGATTTCTATCTAATTCTCACACCTAGCCCATAGATCTAATTTAATAAAATAAATACTTGTAATTTATAGTGTTTTTAAAATTTTTATTTGCACGTCTAAGGATGTTTTCTATCTTAAGCATCTAAAATTAAATAAATAGTACATCATAAGTTATTCCTATTTTTTTTTGTATGTGTTTTTATGATTTCTATATTGCACTAGCATTTTATTTATTGATTATTGAGTAATTAGTGAAGCAGCAGATCTCTCTGCCACTTTCCTTTCAATCTGCATGGAGGAGGCAACAGGAAGAAATTGATAGGATTCAACTGGTTTTAAGTTGAAGAATGGAATTTAATGTATTTGCCATGGATGTAAGATTTTACTTTACAAATGCTTAGGTCATTTGGACGGTCCGGGGTACAGATCCGTTTTTATCAAATTATTAACTGCCGCCTGAAACTTCGTAAATAGTTTCATCTAATCGTAACCTACAAATATTTTATTTACGAAAATTGTCGGAATTGGGACGTTGGGAAAAAAAGATCTTAAAACTTTTTTTATTTAATTACGTACTAAAAACTCATAAATACCCATTTGATTTTCGCTTGAATCGTAAGATAATTTGAGCACAAACTCGTGATAAAAGATGGCTTCAAAAATATTGAGCCATTTGGCGTGACCTACATTGTCCGACGTGAAATTTTAAATTGTGCAAACTAGTTTTACAATTTTGAGTGACAAAGAAGCTCCCATCATTGCCTTAATGGTTTATTGTAATGGCTACACTATTGTGACTCTAAGGAATAAAACCAATTTAAAAATTAACACTCCGAGAGGAAAATGCGTTTCTCAGATGGTATACAGAGCGCTATATTTCCCTTTTATTATGGTCGTACTTGGGGAGTTCGAAATACTACCTCCACTTTCCTATGTTTTTTTCATTAGGGAACTTGTAGGAGGGTGGAGTCACACTGGATTTCAATTTAATTGGACCACTGTTTTCGACGAAAAATAAAACTATTTTATAATTATTAACTGTTCGAGAAATTTATTTTTTCAGTCTCATATTACAATCTGAACCAATTTCAACTATATATTTGTTATTTGTTATTCAAA